GCAAAGACTTCAACATATGGGTACTCACTAAATCTTTGTAGAATAAATGAACACAGAGCAAATGATTCTCCTGTGTATGCTTTTCTGGAATTACTGCCTAAATCCAATTTATGAATGTGTGCCTATAAAATTAAATCACAAGTTGTCTGGGATTTATTTGTTCCAACATTCACCAACTCCAATTCAAAGCAATTCCAGAATACACAATACCTGCAAGCATACTCACTTTTTAGCCCATATTTTAAAGACAATAAAGGGAAATGTTTCACAGAGTTGTTTGCAACGAAGCATAACTTAACCTTATAAAGTTATGTATTCTCATTATCTTTTACTTTCTTGTAAACCAGCCAAATCTCCTTAGTGTTTCAGTTTCTCAACTTTTTGTTTTGTTGAAAGTTTTTTTTTTTTAAATGTATCAAACAACTTCAAAGGTAATGGCCTTAAGAAGAAATCCAGGGGTGCCTGGGTGGCTCAGTCATTAAGCGTCTGCCTTCGGCTCAGGTCATGATCCCGGGGTCCTGGGATCGAGCCCCGCATCGGGCTCCCTGCTCAGCAGAAAGCCTGCTTCTCCCTCTCCCACTCCCCCTGCTTGTGTTCCCTCTCTCGCTGTGTCTCTGTCAAATAAATAAATAAAATCTTTAAAAAAAAAAAAAGAAGAAGAAGAAGAAATCCATGAGAAGCAGAACTTATGTTCTTGCAGGAAGCTGTAGCTGGGAATGTTTATAGTGGTTAAACCATGAACAAAAAGCAAAAAGAGCCACTTCAAGAAAATTAAAGAATTGCAGAGTCTGAGAGTGTTCCACTCTGCAAGTAGAGAAACACATTAACAACAAGACCTTTACAAAGCATTAACCTCACAATCAAAAGAACACCCGCTAGAGACTCCTTATGTTCTCTCTTCCTTTATAGCCTAGTTTCTTGCAAGAGTAGGCTACACTTCTTTAGTGTAATTTCCACCTTGGGTTCATACTCCACATCATTACAAGCTGGCTGCTCTTTCTGGGTAAATGGTGCCCCCGTCCACTCAAGCTGGAAATCTGGGAGTCATGCTCAATCCCAGCCTCTCCCCCACCTCACGTGTCACAATCACGTGGTCAGTTCGACCTCCCAAGCTTCACTAGAACTTGTCTTTTCCATCTCCCTGCCACTGCTTTGGTTCAAATTCCACCACCTCTCGTGGGCCTCACTGCTCCAACCTATTAAACATCCTCCTGACTCCAGATTTGTTCCCTCAACCTCAATTTCATTTCCTTACTTTTGCTCCTAGGGTCACCTTTCTGAAACGTAAACCCTCCCTTAATCCCCAACAGAAAAATCTTCCAAAAATCCTCATTCACCTTCAGGATTAAGATCATGTTGAACATGGGGGCACCTGGGTGGCTTAGTCAGTTAAGCCTCCGACTCTTGGTTTCGACCCAGGTCATGATCTCAGGGTCCTGGGATGGAGCCCCAGATCAGGCTCTGTGCTCAGTGGGAAGTCTACTTCTCTGTCTCTCTTTCCTTCTCCCTCTGCCCCTCCCCCCGCTCAGGCACACACTTTCTAAAATAAATAGATAAATCTTAAAAAAAAAAAAAATCATGCTCTATATGGAATGAAAAGGTTTGACCAATCTGCCTTGTATCAAAACTTTGAAGCTAAACTCCCCCTACATCCCCTTCACTCCATTTTCATTAACCAGCAGGCTCACTCAGGATTAGCTCCAGGACCTCCTTCCCTGCTTAGGTGAATCATCCTACTCACTCTTTACAATACAGCTCAAAGACCATCTCCTCTGGGAATCTTTGAAGTGTTCTAGGTCCTCTGAACCCCATTAGCCATTGCTCTAGGACAGTGCTCATCACACCATATCACCATCACAGAACCACTGATCCTTTGTCCATTTCCCCCATGCATCCATGCAACCCTTGAGGAAGATGGCCTATATTTTCCACATCTCTGAATCGCCACCTCTAGTAAGGTACGTTAGGTTCAGTGATGCCAGAAACAAATGATGACACAGAAGTCTGTGCATATCTTACATCATCAAGCATCATCACATTATTATAGCATCATGCTTGGTTTTCCCAACAACTGGTTTCCTTTGAATTATAAGATGACGTCAAGCATACATCCCAATTTCAGAGATGTTTAAGGTGAAATATTGTAGTCCATGAAATACAGCATATTAAGTAACATGATCATAAAAACTTCTAGTCATCAGGCTAGAAAAGCATTTTATAAGTTCAAGTGTAGAAAATAAACCAAACTTAACTCTTAAATGAAGGTACCCCATGTGCATTACCTTAAAATATTACAATATTTTTCCTATGAAATGATCATTGAGGAACTGTTTGTTCTGTATCCTAATTGTGGTAGCCTGAACACAAATCTCTATTAAAATTCACAGAACTGTAAAATAAAGCCACAGAAAATATTTCTAAACATCCACTAAATATGCCTGCCCTCTTTCCCCCACTTTCCATCCACCGAGCCTGGACTCCACCTCCATAGACCCCACCAGAACCCAAAGAGGACACTTATTTCTCCTCTGACACTTTCACTCCATCTTATCATCAGTGACCCTAAAATCTGTGATAACCTGTCTCCAGGCCCATCTGCCCACTCCCTCCATGTCCCAACCCAGGATTCCTGTTGCTAATATAGGGCCTGTTCTCCTTCCAGTCATTTCTCTCCCAACCCAATTGCTGTTCAAGCCCAGCCTCTCCCCTCATCCTCCTTCCACCTCACTCCATCAACTATCCATCTCTTGTGTACTGTACCCTGTGAAATCTGGGCTCTATTGGGTGGGGGAGAGGGGAAAGAGACAGAGGGGCTCACCTTGTGTCTTGACACTTTTATTTACCTCTTCCCCAGGGCAGACAGGGTCTGCTTTGAAAGGTTAAAAACTAACTGAACATGCTAAGACACAGAACCCTGAAATAATCAGATTTCCCTCAGAAAACTGAACAAGCCTCAATATTGGGGGAGGAGGGGATGAGTTGGATAAACCTCGCAAGAAGCTTGAGTGTCATCAGCCCACACTTTTAGCTGTTCGTGAACAACCCACTAGAAATCCTAGAAATTTCTGAGCATGCTCCATTTATTTGCCAGAGTGCCCAAAGAAATCTGAGCACAATCCTAGGAAAGCCATCTTCTCCAACCCATCAGCTAAATGCAAAGAATGGATCGATATTTCTCTAGACAGTGGTTCAGGCCATCCATCAATGAATATACATCTAATATGTGATAATCAACCATATCCATATGTTTCATAAATTAAGTACATGAGTGCTAGAAGAAACTCTAGTGATATTCCATTTTGCTAATCAGGAAATGGAAGCACAGAAAGCTACAACCTAGTGTAACTTAGAAGACAAGCATGGAAGGTGATCTTCTTCAAAGAGACGAAAAAGACAAAACTCCTACAAAGTACACACTAACCCCAAATGGAATGTCCACTGATCTTTTTTTTTTTAAGATTTTATTTATTTGACAGAGAGAGATACAGCGAGAGGGAACACAAGCAGGGGGAGTGGGAAAGGAAGAAGCAGGCTTCCCGCTGAGCAGGGAGCCCAATGTGGGGCTTGATCCCAGGACCCTGGGATCATGACCTGAGCCGAAGGCAGATGCCCAACGACTGAGCCACCCAGGCACCCCGGAATGTCCACTGATTTTCATTACACAATTAATTTGCAGTCAAACGTATGGGGAAAAAAAATCATTTTAGGAAGTTGAGTGAGTTAGGCAGGGTCACTGCCAAGATGTCGGACTGATAAAGATCCACCAAGGAGAAGACATGTGTACTTGAGTACATGACCTTATATATGAACACCTCATGGGACTAAGTGGTAATAACTTTGTAAACAGTTTGGTTGTCTGACCCACCTGCATGATGTCAAGGACTTTTCAGGATTTCTTACAACATCAAAGTTTTCCCCCATTAACCTCTAGATAGCAAATCTCTGTTCGGGGCCTAAACCCAGTATCCCCCTGGTGCACTCCAAGAAGTTAGAAGCCAGGGAGTATGAGGCTCAGGTTGAGGCATTCCAGAAATCATGGATAGCTTGCAGACAACTTGAAGCTGTTTTTGCCACCACTGGGACCAGAAAGTGTGTTATTTTATTAGCCCTTAACCCATTCTCTATTCTGTTTTGTCTCTCAAGTTTCCCTTCACATGCAATTTTTTTCCTGTCAATGCAAATTCTATTTCTAACTCAGGAACCTGTTAATTCCTACCTACATCCCCAAAGTTCTTTGGGAAACACTACCTGCTACCTTCCTCCTTCCTGAAAACCAACTACCACTTTCCTCAAAAGTAGCACTCAAACTTGTGTTGAATTTTGTTCTTTGTGGGTTTTTAAAAGCTTCTACTACAGTATTTATTGTTGAAAAATTAGAAAATATAAATAAGCCAAAAGAAAGTCATCACCCAGAGGCATTTACATACATATCCTTCAGACACATTTGTTTTTATAAAAATAGCAGCATTCTGGGGTTGCCCAGATGGCTCAGTCAGTTGAGCATCTGACTCTTGATTCTGCCTCAGGTCGTGATCTCAGAGTTATGGGACTGAGCCCCATACTGGGCTCCATGTTCAGTGCAGAGTCTGCTTGGGTTTCTCTCCCATGCATGCTCTCTCTCCCTCTCATAAAGAAATCTTAAAAAAAAAAAACAAAGCAGTATTCTGAGTCTTCATATAATAATGCCATCAAATTCCATGTCAATGCTCTCTAATGAAACCATTTAATGATTGTTTAATATTTCTCTTTAAGCATAGGATTTGATGTACTTAACAAATCTCCTATTCTTGTAAACGTGGGTGGTTTCCTATTTTAGGCTATTACAAAGCAATCTTGCAATGAAAATACTTTCTTAAAATACATTTATGTGTGTATTTGTCTGATGGTTTCCTTGAGATAAATTATTAGAAATGAAATCGCTAAGCCAAAAGGCATGTGGCCCACCATCACCCCCTTTTTAGGTCTTTTTATTCATATTGCCAATTTATCCTCCAAAAAGGTTATTCCATTTTACTCTCCTTTTTATTTATGCATCATTCAAAAAAATACTTATTTTGTGCCTACTTTGTGCTAGGCACTATCCACACAATCATAATTAACGTAATAGACACAGTCCTTGCCCTCATGGAGCTTACAGTCTAAATGAAGAGAAAGACACCCACACCCACACTATCACAAATTCTTCATTATAAGCTGAGGTAAACAAAGAAGAAAAAATACAGGGCTTTTCAATATCACAAAAATTTTAGAAGAACTTGGTATAGCCTGAAGGTCTGGAAGAGTTTCCACAGGAAGAATGCTTCTGAGCTGGGGCTAAGGTTTTCTGTTGTAAATCAGGCTGTGGAGAATCCTGGATAAAATATTCTAAGCAAAGGGAGCAGCATGGACAAAGCCCCTGAAAAGGCAAGAAACAGGACCCATCTGAAAAAATATAACGAAACAGCTCACTATGGCTGAGGCATGGAGGTGGTGGAAAGAGTAAGGCAGCGGCCGGACCACACAAGCCCTCCAGCAGCAGTAGCAACTGGCTTTCTCCACTCTCACCAACTGCTAAAGCCAACATTCAATAATCTGGGCTACAACAGTCACATGGCTGTCAAAGCCGAAAGAACAACTGAATAATGACACAATAAACTGTCAATCAGAAAAATGGATATAAATAAACTTGACCTGAGTAAGGAATGTACTTTCAATCTGGTCCAGAACTTTCAAGCATACAGTGTTATGTCCTGTATTTTGAACAATACAATTAGCTAAATACAACAGTTTAACAGTTGTCTAAAATATCTGCACACTCCTGGAGAGCAAAACATGAAAAAGTCCTTGACTTTAATATGTAATATGCTAAGACTAAGTCAATTAAAAAGTTTTTAAGTTTGTCAAAAGAAATTTTATAATTGTATTTTATTTAATTTGGAAAACATAAATGTTACTTAGGTTCTACTCTGGAGAAAAAGGTACTCCACTGACTTTCAAAGGCAAATTTTCTTTATTCCAACTTCAATTTTCTTACAGAAACAGTCTTCCAAATAAATAAGAGTTAAAATCAGTATTTTAATATTCTTTTAAAAATCAAAAGTTTTAGAAGACATCGAGTATTCCTTCTGCAGTGTTTTTATCCATGTAGATATGCAACTATCATAATTTAAAGGACACTTTTTAGTAATTAATTAGACTGTAAGAAAAAAGTGTACAGAAAGTTTGTACTATAAAATTAATCCCTAAGTTATCAAGGTCCTCGGTAATGGAGAGATAAAGAAGCTCAAAAGGGTCACTGCTTGGCAACTTCTCATAACTAAAGATAGCAGAATACAATCTGCTATTTGTGAAAACGAAGAAACTGCATAAAAAATATCTTTCAAATATTCCCTATAAAAACAGGGAATGCCTATTAAAAAGCCATTGTTTATTCTGTATAAAATATCCCTTCTACACCTTCAAAAGTTTTTTTGCTTTAAGATTAAAAAAAAAAAGCCAAAGATGTCCTTAAGAAACACCTTCTGAAAATTATCTCAATACAAGATCCAAGTTTTCCATTATTTACTGTCCTTACTGAAATTCACCTGCATATTCCAGAGAAACTTTCTAAACTTCACTGATTAGCCTACTCCAAAGTAGAATTCTTTAGCAATACACAGTACATAAGACACAAGCTAAAATAGTCCTCACAAATATACTTTGAAATAGGTGCTTTTGAAATATAAATATATATTTCCAGACCATTATTTTTCCTGACTAAATTCTAGATTAAAATTTAAAAAAAAAAGTGAGGTTTTCAAACCAATGATGTGTGCAGCCCATTCTCATGACACAGTCATTTAAGCTTCTCATCTGCAAAACACAATGCAATGAATTATCAAAAAGGGAAAAACAGGAGGCCTCATCTGGTTTACAATATAAAAACCATTAGCATTGCAAAGCATATACTACCACATATTAAAGGTTGCACACTTTGCTGATAATCTCTTAAATCCTCTTGATTGTAAAAGTAACATTAAGATCAACATAGAAGATCTGGAAAATATAGAAAAACAAAGGAAAAAGTATGCCTGTAACCTTACCATTCAAATGGAATTGTTAGTATTTGGGGTTTTTCCTTTCAGTATTTCTTCTATTATATACAAGTAAGTAAGTAAAAAATACATGTGCCTGCATACTTTTTCTTGAACAAAATTAGGATATTACATTTGCATTTTAATCTTTTGTCTACTTAACATGTGGCATGGTAAGTACCTCTGACTTGGTGCAGGGAGGAACTATTTCTGACTTTTAAAATCCTCAGACATGGGGCGCCTGGGTGGCTCAGTTGGTTAAGCGACTGCCTTCGGCTCAGGTCATGATCCTGGAGTCCCTGGATCGAGTCCCGCATCGGGCTCCCTGCTCGGCAGGGAGTCTGCTTCTCCCTCTGACCCCCACCCATGCTCTCTCTCTCTCTCTCTCTCATTCTCTCTCTCACAAATAAATAAATAAAATCTTTAAAAAAAAAATAAAATAAAAAAAATAAAATCCTCAGACATGATTTTAACAACATATTATATATAGATATATTCAAGTTGTTTCCAATTTTTTGACGTAAGCCTGTCATAAAGATACTTAAAACTTGTAACACTTCTGATTATCTTCTCAAGATGTATTTCTAGAATTACTATGTTAAAAGGAAATTTGAAATGGCCAAGAATCACCTCCCAAAAAATGCTTTGTTCTACAAGATTTTAACCTATACAAAATTCACAAAACTTATAGTTACATGGTATATATTTACAAATAAATTTTTTAAATCGTAAAAAACTGTATATCTAAAAAATCAGAAATCATAACAGGAAATAGAAACACTATTACGTTTTAGCATACACTCATGGAAAAAATAAGTTTAACTTAATACCACACTATATACTTCATTTGTTTCAAGTGAGTCAGAGAACACAGAATGTTAGTACCAGGAGAAGATGAAAAATTATCTCAAATAGTTAAGAAAATGAAAAGATCAGAGAATGGAAGGGTAAGCCCAGCACAGAAGCTTAGGACAAAGATCTTTCCTCTAATAAATTACAAATACTACAGGTCTCGCTTTCTCTCAGAAAGCAATTTAAAACCCAATTATTTTCCCCCTTCACTTTAACCCTTGATATACATTCTATTTAAATTTTCTAAACAAGAATTTTGTTATGGTGTTCCAAGATAATCGCTAGCTCTCGAATCTCAAGAAGACTAATTTCTTTTTTTTTTTTTTTAAAGATTTTATTTATTCATTTGACAGGGAGAGACACAGCGAGAGAGGAAACACAAGCAGGGGGAACGGGAGAGAGAGAAACAGGCTTCCCACGGAGCAGGGAGCCCGATGCGGGGCTCGATCCCGGGACGCCGGGACCATGACCTGAGCCGAAGGCAGGCGCTTAACGACTGAGCCACCCAGGCGCCCCAAGAAGATTAATTTCTTAAAAGTCCAAACCTAATACTTTGAAATAAAATGCTAATGTTAGAGATTTGCAAAAGAAGATAACTTTTCTCTTTTAATACTTACTCAGCATGAGAAAGTTTTATTTCTTCCCTTTGTCTTGCAGAATAATTTAGGTTCCCCCCTAAAACACAAATAAGCATAGAACCTTTTCTACACAACTATTAAAAGTAAAATTCACACACACACACACACACACACTTGCACTGGTATACCTTAAAGTAACAGAAAAAGCTATGGAAGATGAGAAAGAAATAGTTTATCTCCTGGGACCATCCCAAGGGAAAAAACTGGTTTTTAAGAATCTTTATATGATACAAATACAAATAATCAGTCCTTAATGTGAGTATTTTTTAAGTTTGGACTTATGTACTGCTTTACATCTTATTAACTGGGACACTGTATTAATATTTAATAATAGTGAAAATTAAGAGAAATTAAAGGAAATGACCTAAAATCACTTAAACAGCAGGTATATACATTTTACTAAGTACATAACAACCTTTAGGGGCAAGCTACTTAGAAAAATTAATAAGGCTAACATCAAAATCTTATACAAAAGAAAGAAAAAAGTACAAATACACTAGCAAAAGAAAAAAATCTATAACACCTCATTCTGTATCAAACACTTTCAACCTTAAAATGCAAACTATAACTATAAATCTGTTTACTTATTTTTTTAAAACATGAGACAATAACACAGTAATGGCTTTAGGTTATTATAAAAATGCCATACTTCTTTATGCTAACATAAAAAGAACATCTAAAATTTTATATTACAAAACTTAAGTTGAACTGGCCAGAAAGAACACGACAACAATTTTAATAAATCTGAAGTTCCAAAATACATAATTGTATGTTACATAATGAAATGTGTTTCCATCACTATGGAACTGAATGTCATCATTACACAAACTAAAGCACTGGCCTCTAAAGAAGAATGCAGACAATCCAGGGACCCCACAAGATGATCCAGAGTGGTTTAAGAAGAAAATGTCTGAATTCTACTTACCTCGGGCACGATTCACCACATAAAGTAAGACCACAGATAAAAGTGACACTGGAAGTGAAAAAAACACAGTGTCCTTAAAAAACATGTACTTCTTCCCAATGATTCCTATGTAATCATAATTACGAAGTAAAACTTAGATAAATCTTTATTGATTGGCATTTAAAAATAAAAACACTACTCACATTATTTTCCAAAAAGCACTAAAAATTATTTACACACCACTCTTTTTGCATGGGCTACATGAGCCCAGGGATAGCAGGACCAGAAACAAAGAAGCTGAGACAGAAGAAGGGGCTGATGCACCCACAGATCATCCCTGCTGCTCTTTACTCTCCCGTTTAAGTGTTAGTCCTCTTGGTACTTCCAAAAACTCCTGCCAGCCCCCTGACTGTTTATCTTTTTACAGAGAACCAAACAGAAATAATCCTTTGAGGATTTTAAGTCTGAAAACACCATTGTTCATTTTACAAATTAACCCAACATTAGACTGTGGTCATCGTGACTCCCAGAAGCCCAGAGCCAGTGAAAAACTCAGAAAGTCAAGGCTTCCTTAACAAGTAAGGCACACTAAATTTACTTTAAGTTAATATGGCAACAAAAACATTTTTAAATGGCATAGTGTTTGGTTTAAGAACCAAATATATATGGAATTGTGGATTGAAATTAAACCACATGTTGCAGCATCAAAAACAAAAACACTTTCATGACCTAGTATTTTGAATCTACATGACCCATTTTTTAAAAACAAATAATATATTTTTAAAATTTGATGTGCTTGCTTCTAAAATTATGAGATAATAAAATGCATTCAGGCATCTCATAACAATTATCTACAAATACCACATTTCAAGTATAAATTGTCTTTTATCCCTGTAAATGTAAATGATTAAATCATCACTGGGGTTTGCCATTTTAAACACAAGTTAAAGCATAAAAGACATCTTGATATGTTATATAAGATTTTTTTTCAGATGAACACAACTATCTATATGGTGAAGCCTACTGGAGGAAAAATGCTAATTTATTTTTGTAGTTTTCAACAATTTCCTAATACTTCCTATTTTTAACCAATAAACCATTACAGGTAAACATTAAATAACAGGACCAAGAATAAAAGTAATTTAAAGTTGCCTAATGAATAAACCATGAGCACTCACACCTGAATCATACCAATGTCCACACTTCACATGAGGGACATACTCACCACCCTTTAAAATGGTTTCACTTTGGGCGCCTGGGTGGCTTTTTTAAAGATCTTATTTATTTATTTGAGAGAGAGAGAGAGAAACTGCATGAGAGGGGATAGGGTCAGAGGGAGAAGCAGGCTCCCCGCTGAGCCGGGAGCCCGATGTGGGACTTGATCCCAGGACTCCGGGATCATGACCTGAGCCGAAGGCAGTCACTTAACCAACTGAGCCACCCAGGCGCCCCTCTACTACTACTTTTAAAAATAGGAATCTCCTAAAAAAATGCCTGTAAATCCTCAGAGAACCAGAAAGCCACCAGGTGGGAAACTCTGATGCACAGACTAAGAAATAGTCAAATCTGAGAGATACATCTTAGGGATTTGGTTTAAAAGAGGAAAAAAGGGAACAATAACAACAAACCTAAACCTAAAAGTATAAATGAAAACAGTTTGTTACACATTCAAAAAAACTGAATGTAGCCACATCACATACTTACAAGAAACACAGGCAATGAAGAAAACTTCTAAAAACAAATAGCCCCGAGTATCCAATATCATGCCAGCAATGATGGAAATGATCGCCAACCCAAGATTCTGAATGGACTGCATGCTACAATTCAAGAAATACAAAAACACATTTCAATTTCAGAAGTCTTTTTTTTTTTTAAGATTTTATTCATTTATTTGACAGAGAGAGACACAGAGAGAGAGGGAACACAAGCAGGGGGAGTGGGAGGGAGAAGCAGGCTTCCCGCCGAGCAGGGAGCCCAATGTGGGCTAGATCCCAGGACCCTGGGATCACGACCTGAGCTGAAGGCAGACGCTTAATGACTGAGTCATCCAGGCGCCCCTCAATTTCTAAAGTCTTCACACAATTATGTAATCATAATTACGAAGTAAAACTTAGATAAATCTTTATTGATTGGCATTTAAAAATAAAAACACTACTCACATTATTTTCCAAAAAGCACTAAAAATTATTTACACACCACTCTTTTTGCATGGGCTACATGAGCCCAGGGATAGCAGGACCAGAAACAAAGAAGCTGAGACAGAAGAAGGGGCTGATGCACCCACAGATCATCCCTGCTGCTCTTTACTCTCCCGTTTAAGTATTAGTCCTCTTGGTACTTCCAAAAACTCCTGCCAGCCCCCCTGTTTATCTTTTTACAGTTACTGCTCACAGTAACAATTCACTTTAAATATCAGTATCTATAAACGACATACTATTAGCGTTAAAAGATGTTTTTAACTAGGGACGACCTGAATAGGTATTTTCATTCCATGACTGTTTCTGCTACTAGATGTTATGCTCAAAGGTAAGGGAGCCTGTCTTATTAAGTGCAATATAAGCTCAACATTTTCATGTGGAATGAAAGTAAGAGCTAAGTGAATACCAACCATGGGTGCAGTTTCCCCCTTTTGCCCTTCAGGCCAGACACCAGAACCCAACTTCTCACTAAGAAGCCCTCAGATAAACAGGCAGTCAATGGCAAGGTCAGAAATCACTTCTTCGGGGTTAGCTTAACACCAGCTCTCTTCCTGGAGGCTTGGAGCATTTCTGTCGCCACAATAATATCACAAATAGGGTGCCTGGGTGGCTCAGATGGTTAAGCGTCTGCCTTCAGCTCAAGTCATGATCCCAGGGTCCTGGGATCGAGTCCCGCATCGGGCTCTCTGCTCCTTGGGAGCCTGCTTCTCCCTCTGCCTCTCTCTCTCTCTGTCTCTCATGAATAAATAAATAAAATCTTAAAAAAAAAAAAAAAAATCACAAATAGGTTAACTGATTTTCTGGTGGTTTCCAGGCTCAGAGCTGTCCCAGAAGCCTGAAGATGACTAGATTCAGGAGACCTGGAGTTTTATATGATAATTAAATTGCTAGAGCAGAGAGAGACATGATGGTGTAAACACTTACAAGCCATATGCAGTTCCCAGTTGATGTTCAGGAACCACGAACGCCACCATTGGCCACAATGCACAGGCAAGCAACGAATAGGAGAGTCCCAGCAGACACTGCAGAAAGTGACGCAGAAAAGGGGCAAAGTCTTAACATTAACCAAAAGGGATTTTCCTTTGATGCAGACTAGCCAGAGTGGCGTAATAGCAAATATATGAACATTCATGCAAATTTTATTGCAATTATGCTAAAACTCACGTTTGACACAAAAAAGTCCTGACCTTAACGGTATCCCTCTCGCGACAAAATACACACACACTGTCTTAACCATTTTATATTATATGCACATGTAACTGACTGGGCCCAGGGTACAATCAAAGACTAAACAAGAAAATAAAGCTATTTTGCAAAAGTTACTACCAATGTTTCAGGCAAGCTAATTTTCCAATATTTATTAACTACAAATTAAGTAATCAAGGCAACATCACGCCAACAGTGTGACCTAGGGTCATCAACACCTAACTGGAGGGCAGCGCAAAAAACTATCACCTAATGCTGACTTTTTCTTTAGTTAAAAAAGAAACTTTATGATTTAAGTTTAAATAAGATCATCTGCATGTATCATATTGGCAAAGACTGAAATAGGCCCAATGCCCAACATGGCTAGGATACTAAAAACACACATTTGTGTATTATTGGTAAAACTATAAATGGGTAAGAACTTCTTAGAGAAGTTTCACAATGTCTGTTAAGATGTAAAATGTGCAAAGCCTCTGCTATAACATTTATACTTCCAGGAATCACTCCTACAGAAATCTCACTAAGTGTAGAACAAACATCTATGCCCAAGATATTCTTTTGTTAATAGGTAAGAAATGCAGCACTTAAGCCTGTGGTCTTTAAAATGACATTCTAGGCGCACTTGGGTGGCTCAGATGGTTAAGCCTCTGCCTTGGGCTAAGGTCATGATCTCCTGGGATCGAGCCCCATGTCAGGCTCCCTGCTCGGCAGGGAGTCTGCTTCTCCCTCTTTCTCTGCCTCTCCCCACTGCTCCTGCTCTCTCTCTCTCTCTCTATCTCTCTGTCTCAAATGAATAAATAAAAAATTCTAAAATAAATAAATAAAAATAAAATGACATTCTAAAGAACAAAAACCTGATGAATTCATTATCACTTTTTAACCTTCTAAGGGTCAAAGACAAAAGAATGCAAAATCATGAATCCTGGGCTGATAGACTTTTTTTTTTTTTTGCCACCCACGATGGAAGAATTTTTTAAAGAAGTAGAGGAAAATAAATGGAACTAATAAGCATTATGGCTATTATAAGACTACTTTATTTCAAATTCAATTTCAGCAATGAGATTACTGTATTAAATAAGCCAAATACAATTAAAGATACCTTATTCATTAATAATTAACATTTATTTACTTTAAAAATCATTCTTTTGTAGAAACTGCAATCAAGACATTGTTTTTCCCACTGGCACGAGCTCTGCTATCAGAAGAGCAGAGTGTGGCTCCTGACGTGCACTTTACAGAGTCCTCCCTGAAGCCCTGTGCTCTGCAAGCATCCACAGTGACATTACCATAGCAATCCAAGGGTTCCACAGCGTGAAGGCCAGCATGACATGGGCAGCAAGAGTGGTCACCACAGCACAAAGAACCCAGATGATGTTCTTTCCTGTTTTATCCACCAGGAGCCCAAATATCGGGGACATGGGAGCTGATATGACATATACAACACTGCCCAGAGAATATAAAAGATATTTAATGAAATGTATCACAGCTACCAAAAAAAAAAAAAAAAAATCCAAAAAGTCCCTAAAACCATTAGGCAAAGCAAATCCTAGCTCATTTAATGTAGCATTCTTCTAAAATGGTCATCAGTAAACAGAAATTTAAAGATTAAAGAGTAGTCCAAGGTTTCTTCAGTTTTCCATTAATGCAAAGATGGTCTCTCAGGATCAAGCACCAATATAATCTTGGTTTCACACTATGGATGTTAAGTCACATGTCTTTTTTGTCTCAGAACATTTGGTTATAATTAAAGACCCACACTATGCACAAATAAGCACTCAGAGAATTAATGAAATACCTGTTAATAGCACTTGCTGCCTGGGAAGAAAATCCAAATTTTTCTATAAAGAAAACTCTAAAATAAAGAGAGAGAGAGAAAGAAAGAAGCACGTTAGAGAGAACTACTCTGTTTTTAATAATTAAAGGCAAAATAAAACTAAATAAAAATAACTCTTAAATTTAGTCAACTTTTCCTTCTTGATACTGTTTTCCCACCTTATTTAACCATCACCTTTAAACAACTGGCGCTAAAGCTTTAGGGTTTATGTAAATATTTCACTAAATAAAATACACTGATATTGATTTTTTCATTTTATTATTTCTCAAAAGATTTTATTTATTTATTTATTTGAGAGAGAGAGAGAGGGACACAGAGAGCAAGAGCAGAGGGGAAGGACAGAGGGAATGGGAGAGGCAGACTCCCGCTGAGCAGGGAGCCTGATGCAGGGCTCGATGCCAGCACCCTGGGATCATGACCTGAGCTGAAGACAGACGCTTAACTGACTGAGCCACCCAGGTACCCTGATTTTTTCCATTTTAAATAAACAGCAAACAGTACGCATAACTTTTCAGAAAACCAAATGAATTACTACATGACGTTAAGAGTGCTTCTCTTCCTTGGGACTGGATAAGTTCTTTGCAAGATAATGCCTAGAGTTCATTTCAAATTACTGTAAACAGTCTGAATTTAAAGGTTCTGATAACAAAGACACACCCCTATAAACACACTCACACTTCAAGCAGCTGTCAGTGGAAAGGGAGAGGTTAGTGATAACACAAAAAAGAATTTGATTTTGAACCCTAGCATAATTATAGTCCTAGCAAATGGAAATGTGCCCAGGCAAAATGAGCCAAAGCACTGTTTCCATTCTCAAGAATAGGCTTCCAAACGAAAGAATAAAGAGGAAATAAAAAAGAATACTAATCCAATTCAAAGCATTAAAATAAATCCATATTATGAATAAAAAACTATTAGGTATTTCATCAAAAAAATAATGAAAGTATTAAGCCAAATACTAAACCTTAAGCTAAGAAAATCAGTTATATACCAGGATGTAAAATAATTCCTGTGAAAATATAAACTATAACCAGAAAAGCAAGATTTATAGCTAAAAAAATTACATTTGTGTGATTAAATTCTCACTATAATTTAGTCAAGAAAAATGGGATGCACGAGAATACTCACTTCCCGAGTCCGATAAAAGGGAACACTGCCACATAGTAACAGACACAGATGATAAATATCAGCCACAGGGGTAAGGAAAAGTCCTTTACATCAGTTAACTTAATAACTTCACCTTGAAAAGAAAGGGAAGAAGCTATCAGCATAATTTTGCATACCTAGGTCAAGATTATTTTTCTTTTATCATGTGATTAAACTTTGCATTCAGTGTACAAAGTACTTTTCTCAGTAAATTACTGGAACATAGCTTCTGGGAAAACCTAAAATTTAGACAAGTAGAAACAGACTGGAAAATAAAAGATAAAAAAACATGTATTAAGCCTCACTGGGCTTACAACAAGCCTTCAAAGGTCTGCAATTTCCCAAAGCCCCACTTTATTTGAATTTAGACCTACCTGTTTTTCCTTGTGCTTTATGAAGGATTCTCTCTGCTCTCTGATCCAAGTAAGCGAGAACCAAGGCACAGATTAGTGAAAGAATACATGTTATACCCCCTATAATAAAAAAGAGAGAGAGAGATTTTTTTTTAAGATTTTATTTATTTATTTGAGAGAGAGAGAGCACATGAGAGGGGGGAGGGTCAGAGGGAGAAGCAGACTCCCTGCCGAGCAGGGAGCCCGATGCGGGCCTCGATCCTGGGACTCCAGGATCATGGACCTGAGCCGAAGGCAGTCGCTTAACCAACTGAGCCACCCAGGTGCCCGAAAGAGAGATTTTTAAAAGAGAACGACTGAAGGTTCCCAAGAGGCAGTACCTTACACTAACAGCAGAAAACTTAGCAAATGAAATGGTTGGCATCTAGACACATTTAAGCAAATCCTACAATTACTAAATCAGGACAGAAGGAAAGAAACAGCATGTGATAAGTACTCAACAAACAACAGTCACTCTTACTATATTATTTCCCAGTAGAAGGTTGGAGACTAGAGGGAAAAGACTAGAACATACTAGTCTAGTCTTGTAATGCAAATACAGACTTTAAGAAAGTGGATGACCCGCTAGCAAATCTGTACTAATTTTTAACTAAGTCTAAGCAGTGATTATTGACAGATGCTAGAGGGAAAAAAATTATAAAAGCAAAGTCTGATTCTGTGATCATCAAATCTTCCTCTTGATTCCTTCCCAAAGTCTGTAACCCTTGCTCCTACCCTTTAGCAGCCCAAACAGCCCCACCCTCCCACAGCACAGCCCAGCCAGGCTCTCCTTCCTTTGTGTAATCAGCATTACTCACTAATGCTGATCTCGTATCATTAAAGCAAATCAGGATAAAGAGTAAATAAAGTTTACACTTCTCAAGATTTTTAAAAGAAGCTCAGTAAAAACATGAATCTTTAATTTCATAATGTGGCCTAGCTAAAAATTGCTAAAATAAAAGTCAGCAGATGTGGGTTCTACTTCTGCCACAAGCTGAATGATGTTGAACACAGAACTTAACCTCTCAGGGCTTCAACTTCTCCATCTGTAAAATTAGAGGCTTTGACTTGATGGCACAGATCTTTTCTGGTGCTATAATTCTTTAAAATTTCCAAATTCTCCATTGTGGAGAGGACTGGAAGGAATACTGAAGAGCATCTAAGAGTAAGAAAAAGAGGTTTTAAATAAGGCAAGGGATTTGAGAGGTCAGGGAGGAAAGGAGAAAGCTCTAGATACAGGTTACCTGTTCAAGATTTCCTCTCCACTGCCCTCTACCAAACTATACCAAGGAATTATAAGGAATAAAAGATGGCACAGAATGTTCAACTCACCATCCCACAGGTCTTTGTAGGGCTCTGCAAGTGGTCCTTTTACACACTATGGGGGCTCAGTTACAAAAATCCACTGCTCAGAGAAAAGCACAGGTGGGAACTCCAGAAGGCCTCATATGTTTCTCAGTGATCCACCCAGCAACCAGCACAACCAAGTCTTACCTAACAGAACTTAGGGCCAGAAGGGACCTATACACTTTTAGTCAAACACCTGAAATTTTACAGAAAACTAAGACACAGAGGTTAACTTCCTTGTCCAAGATGACAGAACTAGTAGGGGCCAGGACTAGAACCCAGACTCCTGACTCCCAACTTAGTGGATTTCCTACAATATCATATCACCTCTAACTTCTGTAACATCTTAGCTCCATAGGTATACTACTTGAATTTGATCAAAAGGAAATAATTATCCCTCTGCTATAAACTAGTAACACCTTACATGTATAAAGTCTCGGTTTTCAGAATTTTCAAACACAATCTCTCATTTGCTTATCATGACAACGCCGAAGTAGACAAGGAGGGACAAAATCCTCCATTTTAAGGAAATGGAAATAGTAACACAAACCGGGTAAAAGGTCCACTATTTCTAGTTAGCTTGTCCAAGAACTTGTGAACTGTTCAGGCAAAACTATAACCAAAGTGGTCTAACCCTGATTCCAGTGTTCTTTCCTCTCTGCCACAATACTTCCTATGACATGCTTTCAGAAGATACAAAACAAGGGACATCAGGATCCACTAACCAATCATAAGTGTGACCCCAAGGGTTGTGTGACCAGCAGAACCCAACGAAGCTTCAACCTTAGAATACAGCCATCCCATGAGATTCATGTTTACCGTACTTCCCTGAAAGAGAAGGAAAAAACATTTCATTTATATATACTCTGCCTTATTCAATAAAGGATGTGAGGTGGCTAGTAGAAACAGGTATAACAGGATCCAGATTAAACAAGAGATACATTTTTTTTAAAAACACTCTCGGAAAAAACTAACAAACTAAGATAAAGCCACAGATAAGATTACTGCACCCACACACACAAAAAAATCCTAATTTATAGAAAATGCTAGTATTGAAAACAGCACAGTACATTTAGAACTTTCTAGCAACAAAAGCAAAAATGAAACGAGTGACAAAATTCACAGCGTACCTAAGAATAAAATAAACTTTCACTCAGAAAAAGCACAGCCTTTGCTTATACTTACATCTTAAAAAAAAATTCATCCTATCCATAAGAAGACAATAAAAGTTACAGAAGATAATATCCTCATTCACTTATTCATTCAGCAATTATTGAGCCCGTCGCTATTCTAGGTACTGGGAATATAACAAAGAACAAAACAGAAAAATCTCCAGCTTTCATAAAGCCTACATTTCAATGGAGTAGAAGAAAAGAAGAAATATTAAATTGTGGTAAGTACTTTTAAAAATAAGAAAAAAAAAAAAAGCAGGGAAGGAGAACATAAAGGGGTGGAGCTCTCACTGAGATTGTGCCTTTGAGTAAAAACATGAAGGAGGCTAGCCACGAGGTGATCTGGGGGAAGGACAGAGCCCTGAGGCAGAAGGAACAGCTGGTGCCCAGGCCCTGAGAGTGCATACAGCGGCGTGCTCAAGGAACAGCAGGGACGGCAGAGTCTGGAACGGTGTAAAGGAAGAAGCCAGAACATGAGATGCGACCCCTGGAGAGGAAATGGCGGGGAAGCAGGCTACAGGTAATAATATGGACTTCTGGCTTTTATTCTTTGTGAGATGGGAAGCGAAGAAGCATATGGAAGTGGCAGGACTCCATACATTTTAACAGATTTGCTCTCGCTGCTATATTCAAAAGAGACTGTAAGCGGGGATAAAGGCAGAAGCGAGGACATGCATGAGGGGGCTACTGCAAAAATCCAGAACGGAGATGATGGGTCTTGGATGAAAGTGGCTAGCAGGGGGCATGGTGAGAAGTGGTCATATTTTTTAATTTATTTATTTGACAGAGAAAGAGAGAGAGCACAAGCAGGGGGAGTAGCAGGCAGAGGGAAAGGGAGAAGCAGGCTCCCCGCTGAGCAGGGAGCCTGATGCGGGGCTCGATCCCAGGACCCCGGGATCATGACCTGAGCCGAAGGCCGATGGCCGACGACTGAGCCACCCAGACGCCCCTAGAATATGGATATATTTTGATGATAAAGGTAACAGAACTTGAAATGGAAAACACATGCTGTGGCGGGGGGAGGAGTAATTTAAGATGACACCTAAGGTTTTGCCTGAGCAAATGGAAGAAAAGAGTTGCCTGTAACTGAGGATGAGAAAACTACAGCATAAGCTGGTTTGGGGGGCCATAGGTAGAAAATCAAGAGCTGGCTTTTGGCCATGTCAGGTCTGATGTGCCTACTAGACATCCAAGTGGAAATGTCAAGTAGGAAGCTGCATTATAGGGATGTGGAATTCAGGAGAAAGACCTGGACAAGTGATACAAATTCAGGAGCAAAGATATGCTATTTAAAACTTCAAAACTAGATAAGATCACCAAGGAGGTAAGTGTCAAAAGAAAAGAGAAGATGTTCAATAACCATGCCCTAGGGCACCCCCACATTTACATTCAAAAGACTGAGATGGAACTAGCAAAATAGGCCAAAGGAGTAAACAGAAAGGCAAGAGGGAAACTTCTATAAGACTGTAGTGTCCTGGAATCCAAGAGAAGTAATCAAGGTAGGGGGAATGTCAACTGTGCTAAATACTATTACTGACAGGTCAGACACTAAAGACTGACAAATGAACACGTCCTCAACAATATTCTCACAGCAAACACAGAAGCACATTTCACACAGCTATTTCTTAGAAAATGTTAACCTATGGCTTTACTCAAATGAGCAATAAGGTATAAATGCAGACCTACTGATAACTTTCCTCACTATCATTGAAAATAAAAGCTTCTCAAAGACAGGGATGTTGCCTTAAAAATCCTTTAATTCTAAAATGCCTAACATGACATGACTTAGCAAGTCCTCAATAAATATTCATTGAAATAATGAGTTTAAAAGTAACAAATTACAAATGACAATCAAAAGGGTGCTGGACTTCCAATCCCCAGGAAGATATAAATAAGTGAGAAGTCCACTGCCTAAAGGTGTAATGGTAACAGGTCAACTGTCCAAAATAGACAAACTCACAGCTCAGGCTACAGAAAAATCATGTAGAGGTAAAGCCAGAATCTCTATTGACCATTCTGAATATGCACAGGGACAAGGAAAGTGCAAAAACACTGAAACTCCATCTACCCCAGCAGCTCTGTAATGGAATCCTTTGGTCTCATGTGTCTTACAAAGACCCTAAGCACAGAAATCAGGTCAAAGCTGAGCCGCCCTGGTTGAAGAAGAGGTGGCTGCTTGAGGTCCAGCTCACTCTACCTCCTCCTCAGGTCCTCCCATCACCCCAGTAACCTCCACCCTGCATCCTCGAAGCTGCTGAGATTCCTTTCTAAAAACTTAGGGCTTTCAAGGGCTTTCAGAACGCAGCTCAATGGATTAGAGCTAATTTGTAACCACACAGAAAAGAATCCACCAGTAGCTACAATGACGTCAACAAGATTACATCTTATTTCCTTCTTCGATAAGTTATTAGACAATGGGACCCACAAACTGCCACAGACGTATCTTGACTTGCACAAGATACATAATGAGGTACTCAGAATATCCTTGTGGATAAAATTTAGACAATATGCAAAACCATACTAGCTAAGAATTACAAATTAAAGTCATATTTAGGTGTTTCCAATCAAAAATGATTTTTTAAGCAGTAATACTCTACTATCAAAGCTATAATAAAAATGATCCTTTCATATCCCACAGATGGGGATGTAAACATCGCTGAGAGGATAATATGAGACTACTGTCGTAAGAAACCCTAACAAATCCTCTTGACTCAATTCCATTCCTGGCGATCTAGCTTCAGGAAACAATCAGAGATGCAGACAAGTTTTATAGTGTCACACAATAGCGCTATCTATAATGGTTGAAAAATTAGAAAGAACCTACGTGTATAAAAATCACAGAAGTGTCATATAGATTACAATTATACATTATATATTTTATATAATGAAATAGTACTTTAAAAACTTTTTGTACTGGATTTCTTCTTCCCTAAGAATATGTTACAAGCATTTTCAGGCCATTAACTAGTCTTTGGAACCTTGATTTTCAATGGCAAGGATTTTTTTTAAAAAAACCTCTATTCGGGGGGCGCCTGGGTGGCTCAGTCGTTAAGCGTCTGCCTTCAGCTCAGGTCACGATCTCAGGGTCCTGGGATCGAGCCCCGCATCGGGCTCCCTGCTCCGCGGGAAGCCTGCTTCTCCCTCTCCCACTCCCCCTGCTTGTGTTCCCTCTCTCACTGCCTCTCTCTGTCAAATAAATAAATAAAATCTTTAAAAAAAAAAAACCTCTATTCGGGGCGCCTGGGTGGCTCAGTTGTTAAGCATCTGCCTTTGGTTCAGGTCATGATCCCAGGGTCCTGGGATCGAGCCCCATATCGGGCTCCCTGCTCAGCGGGAAGCCTGCTTCTCCCTCTGCCATTCCCCCTGCTTGTGTTCCCTCTCTCGCTGTCTCTCTCTCTGTCAAAATAAATAAATAAAATATTTTTAAAAATAAATAAATAAATAGTAAAAAAAATAAAAAACCTCTATCCATAGTTTATGAGGAAAAAAAATCTAACAGGGTTTGGGACGGCCAAACACCTCACAGGTTGCATTAATAAAAGTATAATGTTGTTACCCTGAGTACCCTCTATCAGACCAAACCTGAAATACCACAAACACTTCCAAGTTCCAAATGCTGGGGAAAAGTACTGAGCACCTGCAGTAAGCCCAGAAAGGTGGGAGCACACTGACCAGGGAACTGAAACCCATGTCGTATGGCTTAGACAACCACAGGAAATGGGCATGTCTGATGAAGAACTTAAAAGCTGTCTTTATAAGCAAAGTGCTGGCACATGAAAGAGGAAACAAATGTTAACTCCCACAAGTGGGAGCAATGAGAAAAAGCTACTTGTGGAGGCAGATTTCATCTCTATGTCAGGCTGCACTTCATAAAGCTAGCTGAAGTACAGGAGCTGTCCTATCACACGCACGGTGAGCTTCCGATCACTAGAAATGTGCAAGCAGAGTCTGGAAGGCTTTCATACCAGGGATGGGCAAAGAAATCAGATGAAAAAGCCTGTAAGATCCCTCCCAATGCTCAGATTCTTTGAACTAATGAATGCTCAATTAGTCTTTTTAGACTGTTTCCTAACTGAAATAAGGTTAAAAATGCCTTAAAGTAATAAGGTAAATGATATACTACGGTCAACAGATATACATAAAAAATCAATACCTAATACAGCAAACAAAAACACACTTCATCCCATTATTTTTAAGAGATAATTACAAGATTAAATCTCTTACTTCCTGTTTGGCTTCATTAGGTTTGTCATACTTACAATTCTAGCCATGCTAAGTTGGAGTCCAAATACCAAGTTTAATTCTTTGCCTTTAAACCAACTCACAGCATATGTATTCTGGGCAACTGCTAAGGACTCCCCACCAATCCTAAAAATGAGAAAAAGAAGAAAAATTACTGCTTTTACAGAAATACCACAGTTAAAATTTTGACACCCCTCCTATCAAAAGGTGGGATCTATGTCCCACCCCCCGACTCTAGGTGGGATTGAGACTGCTTCAATCAATGTAATCTTGTGGAAGTGGTGCTGTGTAATCAAAGCTGAAATCTGCCTTTTCACTCAAACATTCACACTTGAAGCCTTGAGCCATCTTGTAAGAAGTCCAACTACCCTCAGTACACCATGCTAGGAGAAAGCCAAGCCACACAGAGAGGCCACATTTAGGCACTCCATCCAGCAGCGCTAGTCTTCAAGTTGTCCCAACCCCAGAACGAGACCTATGAGTCAACAAGCTCTCAGATGATTTCCGCACCCAACCTTCCATGAATCTTTTGAGTTGAGGCTCCAGACATCTGGTGCACAGACAAGCCATCCATGCTGTACCCTTTTCAGATTCCTGACCCAAAAACTCCACAAGCACACTGTAACAGCTGCATGACACTGCTAAGTTTTGGGGATTGTGGTAAATAACCATGACCTATAATAAAAGGAATCTGGGTTAAATCACCACCTATGCTATATAAAATGTTCATGTGGGAAGAATGGTTCATACTTTGTGGAAACACAAAATTCACATTTTTCAGCCCAATACCTTTCATATTCCACATTTTCCTACTTCCTGGATTTTAACTTTCATTCTCTAAGTTCTACATATTGACCATTCCTCCTCTGGCCTTCAGTCAGGAGATTCTCCTCCATATCCTAACACTGAGCCCTCCTCACTCTGTCCTAATCCAAAAATACTCCCCTTCTCTTCTACTAATCCAAACCCTATACTGATGTCAAGACCATTTCTGGTCTTTTCTGACCACCCCTCCAACCCTGGATCCCTTTCATATTGTTATATACATTTTGTTTCCTTCTCTCTCACTTAGAGCATTTTTTAGGGTGTATCATATATGTCTACATGTCCCTAGTACTTATAAAAAAGCTTAAATAAGTTATGTCATCTGCATTTCTCAGGGCAGGAAGCCCAAGGCTGGACTCAGAATGGACTTACTGAACAGACACTGAAATTCATGAAGAATCATCAGTCTATTGGTATTTTGCTCATTCAAGCCTCTTTAATTTTTTTTTTTTTTTTAAGGTTTTACTTATTTGCGAGAGAGAATGAGAGACAGAGAGCATGAGAGGGAGGAGGGTCAGACGGAGAAGCAGACTCCCTGCTGAGCAGGGAGCCCAATGTGGGACTCGATCCCGGGACTCCAGGATCATGACCTGAGCGGAAGGCAGTCGCTTAACCAACTGAGCCACCCAGGCGCCCTCATTCAAGCCTCTTTAACAGGGTTCAAAAGGACCTGTACATTATCCACTAAGTAATAGCAAAATGTCCATAAATCACCAACCTAGAAATGGTTGGTCTACACTTTTCTAAATGAGGTTTAAATCAACCTTCAGTACAACAACAACAACAAAAAACACCCAGGAAAAATATTTTTGGAGAACTACTTAATATTCAAACCCCAAATGGAGTTAACTATGACCACTCAAAATTGTTGCTTACTTTAAAGGAAAAGTAAGACAATAAACAGTCTTGTGTATATAGCTAGATTTCAAGGATTTGAGGTTAATTCTCCAGAAGAGACAGCAATATATTTTTGTGAATCTTTAATAAATTGATAGGTAAACAATAATATACTAGGATGAATGAAATTATGTATAACTTACCCAAACACAAACCTTCCAAATTCCATCAGCCCAAAAGCATTAAATATTCCACCCAAAGCAAAAATCACCTACAATGTAGAATATAAATGTAGAATCAATGAAAAAGTAAACTTAAAAAGTATTCAAGAGAAATAAGTAACTTACAAGGAATCATAACTTCTATAATAGTTTTAACATTCCTTCTTAGTAAATCTGTGAAATTTAAATATTAATGTTCATCTATCTCAAGGCTTAAAATGGACTATACATTATGCTACCTGGGCATTTGTGGACCCTGCTTAATTAAGTCAGGCATTCAATAAACACATTTTTGCTGGTGGAATCAGACAAGAATTCAAAAGTCGCTGTTACATAATCAATGAATGTTTTGGACTTTCTTACCTGTCCAATGCAAACAAAGCAGCTAAAAATAATGGTGCCCCATCTGTGAGAGACAGAGAGAGAGAGAGAATGAATTAAGACTATGTCACCAAATCCTTCAGTAATTCTTTAGTCTTCTTTGACCCCTAGACCTCAGTCTTTGACCCCTAGACTTCGGTCTTTGACCCCTAGACCTCGGTCTTTGACCCCTATATATTCCCTCCAAGGAAAGAAAAATGAAGTGCCAGTGTGCCTCTAAAGGCAGCAGCTTTCCCAGGCTAAACGTTAATCTGTAGAAGTCCTCACTTCTGAGGGGATTCCAGAGGCTTCAGTAATGGCATATTTTAGCTTAAACCATTATCATCTCTTAAACAAACAAAACTTGTTAAATAATCTTCAAGAAGTTCCCAGGGTTCCCACTCAAAAACTGACATTCTTGGGGCGCCTGGGTGGCTCAGTCAGTTAAGCGTCCAACTCTTGGTTTCAGCTCATCATGATCTCAGTGTGGTGAGACGGAGCCTGACATCAGGCTTCGAGCTCGGTGGGAAGTCTGCTGGAGGTGCTCTCTCTCTCCTTCTGCCCCTCCCCCGCATGCGCATGGACACTCTATAAAATTACTATTAAGAGTTTAGAATTTATTCCAAGATTAAATAATTTTAAGTGGTTATAATTCCCGATAACTAAAAACTTTTTATTTTATTGATTTTGGGGTGTTTTTTTTTTTTTACTATAGTTGATACAGTGTTATAATACTTTCAAGTACACAACATAGTTATTTGACAAGTTTATACGCTATGCTATGTTCACCACAAGTGTAGCTGCCATCTGTCATCATACAACACTATTACAATTTCATTACCTATATTCCCTGTGCTGCGCCTTGTATTCCTGTGAGTCATTCATTCCATAACTGGAAGCCTATATTTCCCACTCCCCTTCAACCATTTTGCCCATCCCCATATCCCCTTTCCTCTAGCAACCATCAGTTTATTCTGTATATTTATAGGTCAGATTCTGTTTTTTGCTTATTCTTTTGTTTTGTTTTTAGATTCCACATATGAGTGAAATCATACTGTATTTGTCTTTGTCTGGACTTATTTCACTTAGCATAATAACTATTTTTAAAAAGACAAATATCAACCAAGTTATCTGCCTACTCACACATTCTATACTTCAAATATCTGATTAATGTTTCCCCAGAGTAATAAAACGCCAGTATTAAAAGAGTCCTTAAAGATTCTACGAGTAAACCATACTTCTGAAACTCAAATCCCTCTCAAGATCCTTATGAAATGGCCATCCCTCATTCTACTGAAATGTTCTCTAGCAACTAGAAAACTTCCTGTGGTCCCAAGGCAAATCATGGCCCCTCATCAAACTGACCAAGCAAAGTCTTCACCATACCAAGTAGAATCTGCCCCACTGAAGTTTCAAGCTAATTCCATCCCTTCAGACCAAGCAAAATAAATTTAATTCCTCTTTTATACTTAACCCTTCAAAATTTTTAAGTCCCCGAGTCTAAACACTTTCAGTTTCTTCAATCCTTTTCCATCAGACATGGCTGGAAGATGCTTCATCATTTTTCCCTCTGCCTTCTGAAAATATTCCCAGACTGCATCCCTCTTTAAGTCTCCACTAACAATACATACACGACCATAAGGATAAAAAATGACAAAGCTTATAATGTTATTCCTCCCTCAGCATCTCACAGAAGTGGCCACAAAAAGTTCAATGCCCAAGGGTAGAAAGAGAAAATCTCACTGGGGCTGAGAGAGATAAATACTATATATGTGCCAAATACTATACATCTATCTCTTTCAATCCTTGTAAGGCAAGAATTATTACCATACTTTACCAACAAAGAAACTAAAGCTCAGGAAGCTAGGAACAGCTCAGAATAGGATGTTCAGTAAGTGGCAGCAATGGGATTCAGACCCTGGTTTGCCTGATCCCAAGTGAGGACATTATTTACACTTTTAGATAACTGAGTTACCATATTCCATGAATAGCATTTACTAGTCCCAACCTTAACTGAAATACCAACCAAGTTTCAAAAGCCAATTCCAGGAATATATAAAAACCATAAAAAAAAAACCTAATGTAGATTATTACAGTCAATACAGAGTTTTATTCAGTTCTTTATAGAAATACCTTAATCTGGTTCTGTGCTTTCCTAATAATATTTTACCCATAGGTGAGATGTTTTTCAAGCTTACCGTATTCCAAATACTCGGTCTATCAAAAAGCCACCAAAAAAACACAAAACTACATTGGGCCAAGAATACCAGGCATACAGCAGCATGAATTTCGTCGTATTCACCTGCATATCCTATATGGGAGGAAAATAAAACTATTTTTTTCCAAACAGTTAAGTTTAGCAACAAATCAAAACGTTCTTTTTGTGTAGGACAGGAGTTTCTTAATCATTTGTGGTCACTAAATGCTTTGAGAATTTCATGACAGCTATGGCCCCTGCCCCAGAAAAATGGTCACACCTGGGATCCCTGGGAACTTCCTGGGTCCACATGCCTTTCAGAGGCTTCATGGAGTCCAGGATCAATTAGAGCCCCCATTACTGGAACCATCTCCCTCTGCACCTACCTGTATCTTCTACATTCTTATTCCCATTATACCATGTGCATTGGTGTTCCCCCCACATGGCAAAAGATAATCTTAGCCCATCCCTACGTCCCCCCCCACTAAATCCTACCTTCTTTCCCTTTCATTCTAGAATGTGAAGGGCCAATCTGTTTCTTCCTGTCCAAAGGTAAAAACCTTAAAAAGCAAAAACTATCTAAATACACAAGAAACTATAAATATCAAATGTATTTTTACAAAACCAGACTAAAAATACTGACATGGAGAATCCTCAGCAGTCAGCATTCACATTTAAAAAATAGAAGAACAATAAAAAAGACATATTTAAAAAAGCAAAAAGCTATCCTACAGAATCATTTGTCATTCAGATGATGACACAATTGGAAAGTGAATTGCAAACAAAAATTTGCTAATACTTTTTGGTAATTCTGTGGAAATAGCAATTATTTAAAGTGTAAAACACTAGTCACAAGTGCTATAAATGAATTCTTTGTGGTCACTCATTCCAACTCAAGAACACTCCTTACTACATATGGATTTTACTACAGATGTTAAAATGGATTCAATGGACAATATTTCAGACTAAGCAATCTGAGACCTGATGATGCCTCCCTCAACAGCTATCCCTACTCCAGAGAAAGTAAAAAATCAACTTACCCTTTTAACCTGAGTCTGAAGGGCAGCAGGATTATCATAGCAAAAATAGCTGCCTAGGATAAGGAAGAGCAAACATTTTATAAGTGATAATACTGCCCATAAGAAGTTTCAGGTTACAAATATTATTCAATTGGTGATTTTCAATGTTTATAGGAGGCGCTCCAGGACTGACACCCATGGACCACCTCCCTTCCACTAATATTTTCTAAGTTGTAGCCAAATAATGCAGAGAAAACATGCCAAATGATTTACAAATTACTTTTGTGCATATACAGCAAATACTGGGAACCTAGATTAAGAATAAACATTGTTAAAATGTCTATCCTGCCCAGAGCAATTTACACTTTCAATGCAATCCCTATTAAAATACCATTGGCATTTTTCAAATAGCTGGAACGAACAATCCGAAAATTTGTATGAAACCAGAAAAGACCCCAACCACCAAGGGAATGATGAAAAAGAAAAACAAAGCTGGGGGCATCACATTGTCTGATTTCAAGCTATATTACAAAGCTGTGATCACCAAGACAGCATGGTATTGGCACAAAAACAGACACAAAGACCAATGGAACAGAATAGAGACTCCAGAAATGCACCCTCAAGTCTATGGTCAACTAATCTTTCACAAATCAGGAAAAAATATCCAATGGAAAAAAGACAGTCTCTTCAATAAATGGTGCTGAGAAAATTGGACAGCTACATATAGAAGAATGAAACTGGACCATTCCCTTACACCATACACAAAGATAAACTCAAAATGGATGAAAAACCTCAATGTGAGACAGGAATCCATCAAAATCCTAGAGGAGAACATAGGCAGTAACCTCTTCGACCTCAGCCACAGCAACTTCTTTCAAGACACGTCTCCAAAGGCAAGAGAAACAAAAGCAAAAATGAACTTTTGGGACTTCATCAAGATAAAAAGCTTCTGCACAGCAAAAGAAACAGTAAACAAAACTAAGAGGCAGCCCACAGAATGGGAGAAGATATTTGCAAATGACATTACAGATAAAGGGCTGATACCCAAAATCTATAAAGAACTTTTCAAACTCAACACTCAAAAAACAAATAAGCCAGTCAAAAATGGGCAGAAGACATGCAAATGGCTAACAGACATATGAAAAAATGCTCAACATCATTAGCCATCATGGAAATACAAATCAAAACCACAATGAGATACCACCTTACACCAATCAGAATGGAAACAACAAATGTTGGCAAGGATGTGGAGAAAGGGCAACCCTCTTACACTACTGGTGGGAATGCAAGCTGGTACAGCCACTCTGGAAAACAGTATGGAGGTTCCTCAAGATGTTAAAAATAGAGCTACCCGATGATCCAGCAATTGCACTACTAGGTATTTACCCCAAAGATACAGATGTAGTGAGAAGAAGGGCCACATGCACCCCAATGTTCATAGCAGCAAAGTCCACAATAGCCAAACTGTGGAAGGAGCTGAGATGTCTTCAACAGATGAATGGATAAAGAAGATGTGGTACATTTATACAATGGAATATTATTCAGCCATCAGAAAGGATGAATACCCACCATTTGCATCGACATGGGTAGAACTGGAGGGGATTATGTTAAGTGAAGTCAGTCAAGCAGAGAAAGACAATTATCATATGGTTTCACTCACATGTGGAACATAAGATATAACACGGAGGACCATTGGGGAAGGGAGGGAAATCTGAAGGGGGAGAAATGAGAGAGGGAGACGAACCATGAGAGACTATGGACCCCAGGAAACAAACTGAGGGTTTCAGAGGGGAGCGCAGTGGGGGGTGAGGGTAACAGGGTGATGGGTATTAAGGAGGGCACATGTTGTGATGTGCACTGGGTGTTATACATAACTAATGAATCACTGAACACTACATCAAACACTAATGATGTACTATACAGTGGCTAACTGAACATAATAAAAATTAAATAAAGAAGTTAATCAACAATTAATTGTCATTTTACTTTCACTATGCTTCATAGGTCTTTTTTTTTTTTTTTAGCATTTTCATGCAGCTATATTTTCCTTATTTGAAGCTACCAAAACACACACACACTAAAGATTTCACAAACATCCCCAGCAGTTTCCTAATAACGTAACCTGAGGTCACCACTTACCATGAGAGCACAGGAACAGAGTTTAACTACTCTGAATGAATATTTGAAACAATAATCTAGCTCTACAAACAGAATACCCAAGATCAAATACTGTAGTGAATACAGCATCAGGACTGAAAAAACAGTTCTAAAAGATTAAAACATGATGATAATGTCTGTTGGGGGTAAGAAAGAAATGTAGAGAGGTTTGACATTCATGCACTCATATTTTTTTTAAGATTTTATTTATTTGACAGAGAGAGACAATGAGAGAGGGAACACAAACAAGGGGAGTGTGAGAGGGTGAAGCAGGCTTCCCGATGAGCAGGGAGCCCAATGCGGAGCTCCATCCCAGGACCCCGGGATCATGACCTGAGCCGAAGGCAGATGCTTAACTGACTGAGCCACCCAGGCGCCCCATGCACTGACATTTAAAGTAATTTAACTGACAGGGACGCCTATCAGTTATATTTATGCCATGCATAAAGCTATTGGATAGGCATCATCTTTCCACAAAGTGTGGGGGAAGGAGTGAACAAAGAGTTGCAAAGAAACTAAGCCCAAAGCATCCTTCATGCCTGTTTACATATTCCAGCAGCAGCATAAAGTTATCCACCATAATGTTCCTAAACTTGTTGATTACACAGGTTCTAGCGAGCGCCCTGAAAAACACATTGTGACCTCCATACCATACCAAACTGACATTAAAATGCTGCTGAATACATCAGTTGCAGGAATACAAGCAGATGTTTTAGAAATTACCTCAAGAAACTATTTCATGCTTGCGGAGTCATCAGATTTCGTAACAAACCAAATACCGCCAAGACTACCACGAGTCCCGTATGGTTACTTCACTAGTGGCAGAGCGGAAGAGTAAGAGAACACATCTACTCACTGAAGCTATCAGCAAGACACATTGATGTATTTACCCAAAGACGATGAGAAACATAAGAGACTGCTAACGTATTAGTCATTCAAGGCGGGGGGGGGGGGGGGGGATAGTGCTTAGAGGTGGGTAGTTCAATCTTTCTGAATTCCTTCTTAACAATATATCGACAGGAGCTTTAAGAAATAGGAATTCCGGGGCGCCTGGGTGGCTCAGTCGGTTAAGCGACTGCCTTCAGCTCAGGTCATGATCCTGGAGCACGGGATCGAGTCCCGCATCGGGCTCCCTGCTCGGCGGGGAGTCTGCTTCTCCCTCTGACCCTCCCCCCTCTCATGTGCTTGCTCTCTCTCATTCTCTCTCTATCAAATAAAAAAAAAATAAAAAAAAAAAAAAGAAATAGGAATTCCTTTACCTCTATGGCCCCAGGGGGCGAGCTGCTAGCCTCCGGGACTTCTTGGAGGGCAAAAGAGAGGGACAAAACTCGCCCAGCTCAGTCCCCTGACCTCCACCTCCAAGACGCCGAAGGGCTAGCAACGTCCACAGGCTTCAATGGAGTCCCGAAAGAGGGAAAAAAGGAAGCTCAGGAGCTTAAATCAGAAGCTGCACGGAGGCCGCGGGGCAGCTCTGAGCTCAGTGCGGATCTCGGAGATCCCAGAGAAAATCAGAAATTTCTGGATTATCAGCCCCACCCTACCCCACCCCACCCCATCAGGCCAGATGCTCACCGAAGCCCAGGAAGCACATCAGCAAAAGCACCAAAAGCCGGTGCGCCAGGCGACTAGGGTCGCAAAGGGCCGGCAGCGCTCCGGGCACAGCCGAGACGGCAGGGGCACCTCTGCCAGCCTCATCGGGGCCGCCTTCCAGCAGTGCCCGCGCTTCCTCGTCTTCCTCTTCCATTGGGTCGGGGGAAGACCGTGACGCGAGAATGTTGACTTGGAGAGAAAAGCGTGTTGCCGGAGCCCGGGGAAGAATGTGCTCACGTGGCCGCTGTAGCTCACGTGACGCCCCGACGGATCACGCAGAGCCGAGCTCACGTGGGTGGCCCTGATCACGTGGCAAGCAGGACCGGCCGGGTAGGTAAGGAGGAGGCGGAGTTTCGCCATTCGTTCTGTTTGGGGGCGCTTTTAAGCTTCCCTCCTTCGGCCTTCCACCGCGGAGAGTGCTGTCCTTTTGTTTCCTGCCCCGCCCTCGTTGCAGACTCGCGCAGCTCCAGCGGGAGAAGTGCGGGCCTCGCGTCCGGTTCGACGCCGGGCTCCTCCTGCGTGATCCGATGTGGGCTGGAGACAGGAAAAGACGGGCCGCCCTTCCCGCAGCGTTGCTCTCCTCGGCCTCTTTGCGCCTAATACTAACACATTTGCTTGAACACCTAATGATGTGTCAAGTGACGTGCCAGGTACTGGGAACACAAATGTAATGAGACGAGCTCTCGGACCTCAAAGAGTTTACGGCTTAGTTGGAGACATTGACAAAAACTTGTACTTAAAAAAAATTATGATGAATGTGGTGAGAACTGTGACTTAAAAAAGCACTGAATTTTATTGAAAAGCCAGGGCAGGGCATTTGGGAAACGGAGAACAGATGCACAGTTTTGATAGCGTTGCAGTAAAGTAGCCATAGAGGGGGGTGGGAAATGCTGAAGGTACTTGAGGTTGGTATCTAAGCAAGAATTAGTACAAATGAGCTGGTCATGCTACCTGTTTCAGGGGATGAGTTACTGGGAGAAGGGGAGGGGTGGGTAGGAGGGATAATAAAGATGCAAGCATGAAACAGAACTGGACTCTGTGTGTGTGTGTGTGTGTGTGTGTGTGTTGATTTGGGATTGCAAGAGAAGAAACTCAAGAGTAGGAACACTAAAGCTGTTCCATGAAGATCCGTGCAAGGATTTTTAGCAGAATAGCAAAAATACAAGATTTGTGTTTTTAAAAATTCAATCTGGCAACACCACTCGATCCCCGCCTTTCTGCGTGTCTCCAAGCTTTACGAAAAGAATTTTGAGGGTGACAATCCTAGAGGTCTAATTACAGTGATGATTACTAGGTATTAGGAAGATCAGAGGTGGCAGGAGCCTACAATGGGGAAATAGGGATGGAGCAAAGGAGACAATAAGTATTTAGGAGGTGAAATGGGGATGACTTTGTGAATAATAGCATATAAGGTCTGAACGAAAAGGACTCGAGAATGTCTCCCAGATATCTAGCATAGGCCTCAAATAGAGGTCTAGGAAGAATAAAGGAAGAGAGGAGAGTGGGGGAGAGTGTCAGAGGAGATAAATTAGTTTGGAACTTGTTGCCTTTGAGATGTCTGCACATGAGGTCTCCACTTTCCACCTCCCATTCTCTCTTCGGTTCCCAGAGAGTAGCCCTGGGTCTAATGAAACTGTTTTGCCAAGATGACTAACAACTCCCATTTTCCCAATTACAGTGATCACTTCTCTGTCCTCATCTTACTCGACTTCTCAGCATCAGTTGATGCAGTTGACAGTCTCCTCCTTCATGGTCCCCTTGACAGTACGTTTGCCTTGTTTTCCTCCTAGTCTACTAGGCTGTCACTTGTCTCATTTGTCAGCTCCTCTTCTTTGACTTGAATTCTAAATGTTCAAGTGCTCCAAGACCCAGTCCTGGGCTCTCTTTCACTCATCCAGTCCCATAGCTTGAAAGATCATCACACTCTCTGTGCTGCCCACTAGTAGCCATCACTGTGCTATTGAGCACTTGAAGCGTGGCTACTAATTGAGATGTACTGTATGTGTAAAGTACACACCAGATTTCAGAAACTTAGTATGAAAAAAGAAAATACTGTGTTAATTTTTATACTGATCACATGTTAAAATGATGACATACAGATATTGGGGCAAGCAAGATATTACAATTAATTTTACCTGCTTTATTAATGGCTGCTAGCAAATTTTAAAACTGTGTATGTGGCTTACATACATACATACTTGTATAAATGTCTACAGAGAGAGAGAGAAAAATGTGGTAAAATGTTAACATTTAGGGGATCTGGGTTCCAGGTATATGGAAAATCTTTGTACTAGTCTTTCAACTTTTCTATGAGTCCTGTTACTGTATGGCCTATTGCTAATCAAGCAAATTGACTTACTTTATAATTACCAAGTGATGAAAAAATAGGAATGAGGGCATAGGTATAGACTTCATCATCTGGGACACAAGGCGCTTGGATTGACCAGCCATTTTCATTGGTGTGGGGATGGCTGCAGCCTCTTAAGCAAAGTTAGCCCCATACACAGAAAAGAGGGTAGAGTTCTCTTGAAAACCTTAAGGTCTAGATTCAGCCTTCACATGCCTTTACTTACTACCACTCCTCCAGAGGGCTGTGTGGGTCACACATAGGGTCACACATAGGTTATCCCCATCCTATGCAGAAGCCAAGCTGAAAACCTCATAGTCCTTTTCAGTGCCTTCTTTCCCTCTCTGGTCCACATCCACCCCACCTCTCCCCACCAGCCCTGCCAGTTTCTAATGTGGGACAAGAGTGAGGAGTGTCTGGTTCTTCTTGGGATCCCAGAAGCAGTAATAAGTGAGCTTGATCTCCAAGAATGGAGAAGATTGAGGGGGAATGGTGTGGGGAGGAAGGGGTTAAGGTATTTAAGGCAAAACAAAAACAAAAAAACTACCATATACAAAAGCTTAGAAAGGGATACAAAATTGCATTAACTGCCCTATCAGCTTCATCCAACTCTATGTGGAAGATGTGCAAAGGAAAGCTTTGGAAGTCTGGTAAAAATAACTAGATTGATTTAAATCATGGGGTTAAGTAGTGGCAGATAAGATTGCCCTTATATTTTAGAACTGAATTGGCAAAACTGGTGGCCCAGATAATGGGAAGAAGGCATCCACCAGGAGGTCTGGGGAGTTTTGGCTAATTCATCTACTAATCATTCTTTAACTGCCTCCTTTAGTTTTTTCATTTTTTTGTTTTTTGGTGTATTTTTTGGCATTACCATCGTGACCTGAGAATCTATGTCTCCCACACATTTTGCCTGGTACCTTGCCTTTGACGTCTCCAGTGTGGAGAAAGCTCTTCCCTCACCTCTCAACTCTGGGACTCAGGTAATGATATTTTTTATTCCTTAACATTTCTCTCAGCAATATGTTTGCAAGGAAGACCACTCCGAATATCTGCTCCCTTTGCCCAGAATATAAAATTCACTCTTTTATAAAGAACTATAGCATGACATAAAGTTAAAATGATGTCTTCATTAAGCATGATTTAAAAGTTGAAGTAGAAGTGATTTTTCTTTTTTTTTAAGATTTTATTTATTTGGGAGAAAGAGAGAGAGAGTGGGAGTGAGCATGAGCAGGGGTGAAGGGGGGCTAGAGGGAGAAGCAAACTCCCTGTTGAGCAGGAAGCCCAAGGACATGGGGCTCGATCCCAGGACCCTGGAATCATGACCTGAGCCGAAGGCAGACACTTAACCAACTGAGCCACCCAGGTGCTCCAGAAGTTATTTTTCAGTAAGAAAAGATACTTAGTATATGACTTGGACTCATTGCACATTTCTGCACCTTAATTTTTCCATCAGTAAAAATCATATTTGTGACTGCATACTTTATTGGGATGCCAAGGTGATTGTGGGATTTTTAAGCATATTAATGTTCTTCATATGGAAAAAAATATGAATGACAGTGAGCAAGAAGTACTAGTCTTAATGTGTTTTAGATACAAAATTTTGCATCTAAAATAATTAAAGCCAAAGAGTGGTCTTTATGGATCTGACCCTCTATGGCCAAACTTTTTTTATAAAGATCTAAAAGAATGTTTGCATGCTCAATAAATAATGCTTTTTATTGTATAGAAAAATACCTAAGACGCATTTAGATTTATTTTATTCACCTCCAATGGAATAATTCTGTGTTTTCCTCATTTGTTTGTGGCAAATTTGAGTCCTGAAGGAGCAGAATAAATAATTCACTGGGGTTTCAATACAAATTAGTGAGTAAACAAAAATTAGACCATAATTTGCTGTATGACCTACTTGGAAGGACTGGTTAAAAGAAGGAAAGAGATTGCAAAAGATATTGTGTTAATATATATGACTATTCCACTGAATGAAAAAACTTATTAAAATTACAAAAATTACAGACCTGTTGGAAATATATGAGGTAATATGACAAAACAATAATAAAGAGATACACAATTAAGAATTAGAAGATGAAGAGGAAAAGATAAGAAAAAATTAACAACACCAAAACCAACCCCTTGGAAAAACAGCATGAGAAAGTAAATATAAGCATGCCCCTAAGGAAGTACAAGAGATTTATTACTGGGAAAAGTAGGAACTGGGAAAGAGAGAGCTCTTTCACCTCAGAGGTCAGAGCCACTGACCTCAGATCCCAGTTAGACACTTAGAACCAAAACATGCATGAGTGTAAAGTGTAAGAGTAAATATGTGTGTTTCTATTCATACACAGACCCCCAGATTGGCACAGCCTTATTACCTGTTTTGAAAATTAATTAAAGAGAAGCGACCTTCCCCCAAAGATAGGAAATTGGTGAGTATGTCAGGAGGAAAAGGAGGAAGGCTGGTATATTCGGAACAAAGATAGGTACCATGCCCAAGATGAAATGCCGTCCCAAATGCCCCTAAATTTCTAATGCCAATGACTACATTTATGCCCTACAGACTTCAATTTTTAATAAAGAGCTGTCTCTCTTACTATGATAATTTTTAATATATGTATGCATCCCTCTTTCAATCTATTTCTATATTCTCTTTATGTGTCCATCTATGCATTCATCCATATGCCTACCTCTACCTATACATTTATCTATTTATCTAATATGGTTATGGAATTGTTTTATAGATTAATTGCAAAAATAAACTCACCATATTTTTCCTCCCTCATAACAGGTGAAGGGGCTCAGGAAAGAATATGTAATATTGAATTTTCTAATTGGAAAAATTTAAAGGAAAATATATATGTATACATACATATATACATATTAAGCAACAAAAGTTGTGCACATACTTGTGAATTACATGTTGAGGAAGAGCAAGACAAAGAATGAGAAAAAGAAAAAATTAAGCTATTGGAGGAACAGACATAGGAAGTATATATGGACACATCTTACGCAGGTTGTGGGTTTACCATCCCAGCTCATTCTTTTCACCCAGTTTTTGATAATTTAAATGTTTCCTTTGCCCCTGGCACAGTGTGAAGCTCTGTCAGTAGGTGGCACAGGAGAGAGGTCTCAGGCTGGAAGAATCTAGCCTGCAGTTGGCGTGTGCTCGCTCCAGCGCTTGGCCTTGCGTAGGCCTCTCCAGTTCCCAGTTCCTGCAGTGCAGGTGAAAAAATCAAGGAACCCACAGCTTAATAGAACAAATAAATCTGTTATACTTATTACTATAACAAAGCTATACAACAAAGATGCCTCTGAAATTTAAGAAGAAAAAGAAAAGGATGCAAAAAAATTAAAATAACCAGTCTGTCGGAAGAACAACAACAGAAAGGGAAATGTGAGCATACTACTACAGAAGCAGGGCAGATTTTATAATTTGGGAAGTAATAAGGTCTTCTCTATGCTAAGCTTGAAATTTAAATCAACACACACCTATGTCAAACAGATCATAGTAAAATCTTGAAGTGAACAAACTTACCAGACTCTGGTCCGCCTGCTGTCATCTATTTGAGCATGATTTGTCTGTGTATACTGCAACATGGCAGAGTCAATGTGTGATTCAATTCATATATCTAAACCTAAACACAATTTATTCACTGTTTCAGATCCCTATGTATATATGTCTCTATCTACGTGTCTGTCTATTGCAAGACGTGACCTGCCACACACACAGTGCATTAGTGAATATGTCAGGAGGGCTGGCCCGGGGAAGGCAAAGACAGGTGTACCTGTCTTAAAATGCCTTCCTCATCCATCTCTACCATTCCTGATTCACCACAAATTTCTAGTACTAAAAATTTAAATTATCTCCTGGATTAGGTCAAAAAACAGCATTGATGCAGATGTCAATTGTTAAAAGTTGTTTCTGTCTGCCTAACAACATATCCTGAAAAATCCTCCTTATCAGTTCCTACAGATCTTACTTATTCTTTTTTTTATATCTGCATAATACTATATCATATATACGTACTGTAGTTTATTCAACCACTTTCCTATACTTGGGCATTTATTAAGCTTTCAATATTTTGCAATTACAAATCATGTTGCAATGAATAATCTGCATATGTATTTTTATATTGCTGGAAGTGTGTTCAGGCTAACGTGCAATTGCTGAGTCAAAGGATAAGTGCGTATATGGTTTTGTTAGATATTCCAAATTTCCGCTTAGAGGGGTGTAACATTTTGTGTTGTGAAAATACCTGTTTTCCCACAGCCTTACCAAGAGACTGTATTGTCAAGCTTCTGAATTTTGGCCTATTTGGGTTGGCATAGGCAGCACAGAGTGATAAAAATAACATGAAGAAATATTTACAATAGTGGATATAAATTTTTCAAGGCAGAAATCATTTGCTTTTGGATTGGCATATTCACCTATTGAGAGCATCAGTCTCCAGATGCTCTTTCTTTATTACTATCAGAAGTAAGCTCTCTCTCACACAAACGCTAAAGCTGTTTGGCCAGTGGGTGGCACTCTCGTGCTACTTTAAAGGGTAGATTCCAGACTAGCCCTCTCAGGTCACATATCTTAGGACAATAACTCTTTAAAAATCCACTGCCTGTGTTCACTAGGTAAACTAGGCAAGAGTTTCCAAGGGATAATTCTTTTTTAAAAAAACCCAAGACTAATATGCTTAGCAGGAAAGAGTTTTCTGAAGGTCTAAAGAAAAACAATGTAGCATGTTCTGATTTAAACAGCATGTGGTAGTTTTGATCTGATAACGAAAATTAGCTAAATTAAGAACCAAATTCATGGGCAATGAGAACTAAACCGTGATCATGTGGCTCTTTAATATATGTAAATATTAACAGATCTGCATTTTTGTCCTTGATGAAATGACCTACACAGGTCCAGAAAAACTGGAGGGCGGCCTTACCTGCACTCTACAGACACCCCTCTCCCTTACTCCAGTCTCCAAACAGAAATGCAGATGTCTTTGCTTAGCTCTTGCAGTCCATTTCCTAATGTTACCTTCACAAAACTGATCTTGACATGAATTCCTAGAGCATTTTTGCATTGAGAAAAATTGACAAAGATGATCTTAAGGACCAGAGAATCCTTACACTGATTACTTTGTGGGTTAAAGGGAGACGGAAATCTTAGCAAACCTAGAGTATTAAACTATAGGTCTTGAATATTCATTACTTACTTCAAAAAGCAGGTAATTTTCAAATCAAAGAGAAAGAAGGTTGAGTTCACAGATTAGAGCTGTGTTGTTTATCTTCAGTATCAGGCATATTCATTATCAAAATTAATTAAATGTCATATAGATTATATTTTAAAATATTTTATCAGCAGAGTCCTAGCAGAAAAATGAGAGCATAGGAGTAGGATACATCAAAATGGGATATATCAAAAAAAGGTCCTAAGAGCTTTAATAAAGACCACAAAAGATTAGTTGAGAATAGCCAAACTCCCATTCTAGAATAAGCACAATCAATATTCAGTAAACATTACCATGATCAATAAAACTGGCAACATGATACACACTGAGTTCTGATACCAACGGTTAAATCACTCCTTACGACAACCTTTAGCCAAATGTGGCTAAGAAATCATCTCCATTCTGAATTTCTTTCTCTGCACTGTGGAAGTTCCCCCTGCCACACATTGTCACCTGCTGGCTCAGTCCTATTTGGGTCTTACAGACTTTGTTCTAGTTGCCAGACAGTCCTGAGTTCTTGCTTATGCTCTTGTTCCAAGGTCACCTGAAGTGCCGTCTTCATAAAGGAATTCCCAGGAATGTCTTCTTCCTTTCACCATGCTTGCTCAATGTCTGTTGCTAATCATGTATGACCACAGGAGTGGCTCATCTCATTGTGTGTGTGTGAGGCCCTGTGGCTTCTGTGTGTCTCTAATTTGAGCATTCTAAGTTTTCTGGCCATAGCCTCTCTGTTTTCCTCACAAGCAGTTATAGAAGGAGGGGTTTTCAAATCTGCTCTATAAATATTGAGCTTTTTTTTCTAAAGGGAAGATTAAACTATATGAGTAATAGAAGATGACAGTGAGCTTATAAGAGTTACCATTTTATTACCTTCCATTTCTTGAACAAGAATTTCATTAAGTCTACCTAGCAACCTTGAATATAGGAGTTGAACTGGTAAATCACTCACAACTGTGAGAGGAATAGTATTTTACCTAGAACTTTTGAAATTTTTCAGAAGCTGAAATTGAAAATCAGCTAAGTGTTCCTGAAGAATCTATTACCTTTCTAGTCTGCCTGTGCATTTCAATGAGCAGGTTGAAGCAATCTGGGCATTCCATTTTTTTTCTAATAAATATGCATCTGCCAACTATTTATACATACATAATAAAATTGACTGCTTCCTGTGTCCCAGGCAGTTTTAAGCACTTACCTGGTATTATCTGACATAATCTTCACAACAACCCTATGAGATAGGTACTCTGAATATCCACATCTTATAAATGATGAATTTCTAGTATTCATCAGAGAAATGCAAATTAAAACACAATGAAATAACATTTTACACCTGTCAGAATGCCGGAAATTAAAAACACAAGAAATAACAAATATTGGTGAAGATGTGGGTAAAAAGGAACCCTCATGCACTGTTGGTGGGAATGCAAACTGGTGCAGCCACCATGGAAAACAGCATGGAGTTGTCTCAAAAAAATAAAAATAAGATTATTATATGATCTAGTAATTCCATTACAGGGTATTTACCCAAAGAAAATGAAAACACTAGAATTTAAATAAAATTAAATTAAAAAAGAAAAAACACTAATTCAAAAAAACACATGCACCCCTATGTTTTTGCAGCATTATTTACAATAGCCAAATTATGTAAGCAATCCAAGTGTCCATCTACAAATAAATGGAGAAATAAGATGTGTTATACAATACAATATTCAGCCATAAAAAAGAATGAAATCTTGCCATTTGCAACAACATGGATGGACCTAGAGAGTACAATGCTAAGTGAACTAAGTCAGAAAGAAATATCACATGATTTCACTCATATGTGGGGATTGAAGAAACAAAGCAAATGAACAAAATTTTTTTAAAAGACAGAAAAAAACCAGACTCTTAAATACAGAGAAGAAGCTGGTGGTTGTCGGAGGAGAGGTGGATGGAGGGATGGATGAAATAGACAAAGGAGTACACTTGCTGTAGATTGAGAGTATACTTATCTTGATGAACACTAAGAAATATATAGAATTGTTGAAAAATTATATATAAGTGTTAATTATTCTTGAATTTAAAAAAATTTTTAAATGGTGAAATTCTAGCTATGTAAGTAGGAAAAGGTAGAATGAGGAAACTGTAAGTAAGCCAGAGGGTCTGGGGAATATAGGCACTCTACCAAGAGCAGGCAGAGTAAATCATCCCCAGTGGACCTACACAATGCCCAGATAGAGTATCCCTCAGTAATGTAGCCTGATGACGGAGCCTATGTCCTGAGGAGAGAGAGCCAGAGGCTCAGATTGGGTGCCCATTCTGTGGGACAGGAAGCTATTGACCCTCCTAATTAGACTGGGCTAGTAAAGAGGTAAAACAAAAGAAACAATAGACCCTGGCAGGGCTTCCTGTGACCAGGACTTGAGAGCAGAGAGAGAACAAAGACCTTATTTCCATCTTGTATGGATAGGGCAAACTCCCCCTTGCGCTCTCACTGCACTGGGCCAGACTGCAGCTTTTAAAGGACTCTCCTGGGAGGCAAGGGCTCCCTGGTGGGAATAAGTTGCAAGTAATTCACCCTAAGGAAGGCAATGGGTAGCATGTGAAATGGCTGGACAATAGTTCTGTGTTCATGTTTGATTTTATGCCTTTTAGAGGCTATGGGAGAAGTGCCCCCACCATATCCTCCACAGGCATTTATAATTTCCATACAAGCAAGCCCAACTTCCAACTGCAGCTCCTTGCTTCAGGGCTAGCTATGGCCACCAGAGCCCACTGGGCCTGTGCACAGGGTGGGCTGAAAGTTCCAGACAATGAATACCAACTCTATAGTGGGGTGATAAATACCACATCCCTCTTGCCACTTGAGCAGATAACTCTGAAGTGCATGTTCCCCAGGAGAATTTTGCCCTGATTGCCCACTCTGGTAACTTAATAATACATCCTCTTAAGGGCCATCATTCCTTCCCTTCTTAGTGTCTTCTGGGCTCACCTCCTGTGTTAGGGGGGGTCTCCAAGACTCCCCTCCCCCAGGTTCAGTGATTCACTAGCAGGATTCACACAACTCAGTATAAAGTCATACTCATGGTTATGATTTATTACAGCTAAGGGACAAAAAGCAAAAAGAAAAGATGCGTGGGATGAAGCCCTAAAGAAACCAGGAACAAGCTTCCAAACTGTTTTCCTCCAGTAAATCACACAGGATGTGGTTTCTTCGTACAGCAACAAGTTTTGACAGCATGTTTGAAAAGCTGTCTACTAGGGGAGCTCATTAGAGACTCAGTCCCCGAAGTCTTTAACGACAGTCGGTCTTATAGACACCATCTGCTCGGCGTGTGCCCAAATCCCAGACCCCCAAAAGGAAGGTAGGTGTTTAGCGCAAACCACATTGTTTGCATGAGGTTTAGGCACAGTGAGCCATTCATATGAGTGTTTTGGGAACCCTCTCAAAATCCGAGTTCCCTGAAGCCAGCCAAGGGCCAACCTTGCAACAGTCCTCAGGATAGCATTAGGCCTGGTGTGTTCATGCTTTTAGCCACATAAAAAATACCCCAAATAAATTTCTTGCCCTCAGATCTTTTTGTCAGGGTTCACTTAACCCAGACTAATCCTGGAGTATGCTCCTCCTCTGAGATTACTGGCTAGTAATCATGTCAGAAACTCAATATATTTGATTTTGGAACTTATTAATGTTTCACTCTTTTTCAAAATGCTTTGGATTCATATACAGTATATTACACACACCAAAAAGAACTGAGAATGTGGTAGAGTGGCTAGCTGGGAGTCAGGGATCTGGACTTCAGTCCTTTTATACCTCACATAAGGATTGGCTAACATCAACAGATTTCAGTTTGTTTCTACCAATAATCCCTTGTAAATTCCTGTTTTCATTCATTTGGGCTATTATAATAAAATGCCATAGACTGAATAGCTTAGAAATAACATAAATTTATTTCTTAGAATTCTGGAAGCTGGGAAGTCTAAGATCAAGATACCAGCAGATTCGGTATTTGGTGGGAGTCCACTTCCTGGTTCTTTTCACCGTGTCCTTAACATGAAAGAAGGGGCAAGGGAGCCCTCTTGGTTATCTTTTGTAAAAGTACTATTCCCATTTATGGGAGTTCTGCCCTCATGACCTGAGCACCTCGCAAAGGCCCTCTACCTCCTACCATCATCACATTGGGGATTAGATTTCAACATATGAATTTTAGGGGAAAAGCAAATATTCAATCTATAGCAATTCCCTACCACCATAAACCCCCCATTTCTTTGATTTTTTTCTAGAAACTTTAATCACCTTTATTGCGGTATAATTTACATTCAGTAAAATTTATCCCTTGTAATTGTGCAAATCAATGATACATGATAAATTTATACCACTATATAATCACCACCCCAATCTAGACAAAATAGATGTCACCCCAAAAAGTTCCTTCATGGCCCATTACATTCAATCTTTTCCTCTCCCCTAACCCAAATACTAGACATTTATTGATCTGGTTTTTCCTTCATTGTAGTTTGCCTTTTCTAGATTTTCATGTGATAGGAATCATAGAATGTAGTCTTGTCTATCTTCTTTCACTTGGCATAAGCCACTTGAAATTCATCCATATTGTTGTGAGCACCAGTAGTTTATTCCTTTTTGTTGCTGAGCAGTATTCCTTTGAATGAATATAGAATGGTCTGTTTATCCATTCACCTGTTGATGAACACTTGAGTTTCTTCCTGTTTGGGCTGTTATGAATAAAATTGCTAAGGACATTCATGGAAAAAACTTTGTAAAACATGTTTTTATTTTTCTTGAGTAAATACTGATGAGCAGTATTGCTGAGTTGTGTGGTAAGTGTATGTTTAATTTTTTAAGAACTGCAGGACTTCTATGCAACCCAGCTATGCCTTATGCATTCCCAAAAGAAATGTGTGAGAAATACAGTTGTTCCATATCCTTATGGATGCAGTATATTGTCAGATGTTTTTCTTTTAGTTTTAGCCATTCCAATGGATGTGTCCTAATAGCTCATGGTAGTTTTACCTTATATTTCCCTGATGACTATCCATGTTGATTGAACAACTTTTCATGTGTTTTTTTGACATGCATATAATATAACTTCTTTGGTGAAGTGTCTGTTCAAATCTTTTCCCCATTTTTAAATATTGAGTTGTGTTCCCAATATTGTAAGCATTCTTTATTCATTTAAGATACAAGTCTTTCATCAGATTATATTTTGTAAATAATGTTTCCCAATCTGTAGCTTGCATTTTTATTTTCTTAATGAAGTCCTTTTAAAATAGCTTTATTGGGGCACCTGGGTGTCTCAGTCATTAAGCGTCTGCCTTCGGCTCAGGTCATGATCCCAGGGTCCTGAGATCAAGCCCCATATCAGGCTCCCCACTTGGCAGGAAGCCTGCTTCTCCCTCTCCCACTCCCCCTGCTTGTGTCCCCTCTCTCGCTATGTCTCTCTCTGTCAAATAAATAAATAAAACCTTTTAAAAAATAAATAAAATAAAATAGCTTTAATGAAATATAACTCACATATCCTACCATTCACCATTTAAAGTATACAAGTCAATGAATTTTAGTGTATTTATAGAGTTGTGCAACCATAAGTGCAATCTAATTTTAGAACATATCAACACTCCAAAAGTACACCTTGTACTCACTAGCATTCACTCTCTATATCCTCTTACTGAGCCCTCATTACCCACCCAGGCCTCTGTAACCACTAAACTATTTCCTATATCTCTGGATTTGCCTATTTGGAACAGTTCATACAAATGGAATCATATAATATGGATATGTTGTGATTAGCTCCTTTGATTTTGTAAAATGTTTTCAAGTTTCATCCATGTTAGAGCACATATAAGTACTTCATTTCTTTTAACTGCCAAATAATAGTCCATTGTGTGAACGTACTACATTTTCTTTATCCATTCATCAGTTGATGGACATTTGGATTGTTTCCACTTTTTGGCTGTAATGAATAAAGCCTGCTGTGAACATTCTTATATAAATGAGTTTTTGTGGATGTATGTTTTCACTTACCACTAATAATGTATAAGGGTTCTAATTTCTCCACATCCTTGCCAATACTTGTTATTATCTTGTCTTTTTTATTTTAGCCATCTTAGTGGGTGTGAAGTCATACTTCTTTGCTTTACATTTCCTAATGGCAAATGAAAGTGAGCATTTTTCATGTGCTAATTAGCCTTTGTGAATCTTCTTTGGAGAAATGTCTTTTCTTATCTTTTCCCATTTTTTAAAGGGGGGGGGGTTGTTGGGGAGGGGTAGAGGAAGAGGAAGAGAGAGAATCTTAAGCAAGCTCCATGCCCAGCATAGAGTCCAACAGGGAGCTCGTCTTACAACCCTGAGGTCATGACCTGAGCCAAAATCAAGAGTCGGATGCTTAACTGACTGAGCCACCCAGGCGCCCCTCCTTTTCCCATTTTTAATTGGATTGTCTTAATATATATATGATTATATATAAAAGTTCTTTATCTATTCTGGACATAAAACCCTTATCAGATATATAATCTGCAAATATTTTCTCCCATTCTGTAGGTTTTACTTATATTGTTTGTAGAACAAAAGTTTTAAATTTTGATGAAATTCAATTTATAAACTTTTTCTTTTTCCCTTAAAGTTTTTTTTAAATTTTATTATGTTATGTTAATCACCATACATTACATCATTAGTTTTTGATGTAGTGTTCCATGATTCATTGTTTGCATATAACACCCAGTGCTCCATTCAATACGTGCCCTCTTCAATACCCATCACCAGGCTAACCCCTCCCTCCCACCCCCCTCCCCTCTAGTACCCTCAGTTTGTTTCTCAGAGTCCATAGTCTCTCATGGTTCATCTCCCCCTCTGATTCCCCCCCCCTTCATTTTTCCCTTCCTACAATCTTTTTTTTTTTAACATATAATGTATTATTTGTTTCAGAGGTACAGGTCTGTGATTCAGCAGTCTCACACAATTCACAGTACTCACCATAGCCATACCCTCCCCAATGTCTATCACCCAGCCACCCCATCCCTCCCACCCCCTACCACTCCACCAACCCTCAGTTTGTTTCCTGAGATTAAGAATTCCTCATATCAGTGAGATCATATGATACATGTCTTTCTCTGATTGACTTATTTCGCTCAGCATAACACCCTCCAGTTCCATCCATGTCGTTGCAAATGGCAAGATTTCGTTCCTTTTGATGGCTTCATAATATTCCATTATATATATATACCACTTCTTCTTTATCCATTCATCTGTTGATGGACATCTTGGCTCTTTCCACAGTTTGGCTATTGTGGACATTGCTGCTATAAACACTGGGGTGCACATACCCCTTTGGCTCCCTACATTTGTATCTTTGGGGTAAACACCCAGTAGTGCGATTGTTGGATCGTAGGGTAGCTCTGTTTTCAACTTTTTGAGGAACCTCCATACTGTTTTCCAGAGTGGCTGCACCAGCTTGCATTCCCACCAACAGTGTAGGAGGGTTCCCCTTTCTCCGCATCCTCGCCAACATCTGTCATTTCCTGACTTGTTAATTTTAGCCATTCTGACTGGTGTGAGCTGAGATCTCACTGAGGTTTTGATTTGGATTTCCCCGATGCCAAGCGACGTTGAGCACTTTTTCATGTGTCCGTTGGCCGTTTGGATGTCTTCTTTGGAAAAATGTCTGTTCATGTCTTCTGCCCATTTCTTGATTGGATCATTTGCTCTTTGGGTGTTGAGTCTGATAAGTTCTTTATAGATTTTGGATACTAGCCCTTTATCTGATATGTCATTTGCAAATATCTTCTCCCATTCTGTTGGTTGTCTTTTGGTTTTGTTGACTGTTTCTTTTGCTGTGCAAAAGCTTTTTATCTTGGGGTGCCTGGGTGACTCAGTCATTAAGCGTCTGCCTTTGGCTCAGGTCACGATCCCAGGGTCCTGGGATTGGGCCCCGCATCGGGCGCCCTGCTCAGCGGGAAGCCTGCTTCTCCCTCTCCCACTCCCCCTGCTTGTGTTCCCTCTCTTGCTGTGTCTTTCTCTGTCAAATAAATAAATAAAATCTTTAAAAAAAAAAAAAAAACTTTTTATCTTGATGAAGTCCCAATAGTTCATTTTTGCTCTTGCTTCCCTTGCCTTCAGCAATGTTTCTAGGAAGAAGTTGCTGCAGCTGAGGTTGAAGAGGTTGCTGCCCGTGTTCTCCTTTAGGATTTTGATGGACTTCTGTCTCACATATAGGTCTTTCAATCATTTTGAGTCTATGTTTGTGTGTGGTATAAGGAAATGGTCCAGTTTCATTCTTCTACATGCGGTTGTCCAATTTCCCAATAGCATTTGTTGAAGAGACTGTCTTTTTTCCATTAGACATTCTTT